GGATTTATATGAATGAATAGTATGGATTTTAGTATATCTGAATCGTTTTGGCCTCAAGTCTTTACTTCATCCATAAATAAATGTAAGTTAATTAAATAAAAACAAATGTATCAGTGAGCAATAAATTAATAAGTGTAAAGGAATGATTCAATAGCAGAATACCTGAAGCTGATCCCAATAGCCATTCGGATAGAACATAGTTTCATTTTTCGTTTCATAACAAACTAAATCAAAATCTGGCAGTTGAATTGGTTTCATTAAAGTGACAGCTTCATCCATCCATCTTAGTGCTACTTCATCTTTATTATGTGAATATGATTCGAATATTAGAATACTGCAAAATCAAACTAAGCAGTGCAGGAATTGAGGTTTTCTGAAGTTCAAAACAATTTCATTCATAATTATACTTTAACAAATTCATTTCTAGAAAGTTATGCGTGTAAATACAGGCTTGAATTGTTTTTAAACTGTTTCAGAAATCTAGTTTTACTTAACAAAAATGAGCTTTTAATCAGTAAGTAATCTTTAAGTTCAGTCAATAATATCTGTAGTAAATGAATCAAGTTTTACTTACCAGGATTGAGTGTCAAACGGAAAAATCCGTAAGTCGAGGTCACAAGGCGCTTTTACGGACATTCGATAGTTGATCCAAACAGTACCATTCTGAAGTATATTTTATTTTTTAACAATTCAAAAGAAACTTGAATTTGTATTATTTGAAATACTGCAAAAAACTAAATTCATTTCGAAGCTCAAATTTTCGAGTAAAACGCCAACTTACTTCATATAAAATGAACATAATGTTATCAGTAGGTGAAGAATGTATGATTGTTCGTTTTGAATTTATTATGCACGTATTTGGTGTCCAAATTTGTGATATATACCTGTCAAAGGTGAAAAATTTGCATACTTCATTGGAAAACGATTCAACTCTTTAAATACAATTGCTTTTTTGGTTCGGTGAAAATTTCTGTGTCAGCACAAAAATTTTAAATTTTGTGAAAACTAATGAGTTTCTTTAAGACTTCCAATCATTTTGTAACTGTAACAAACATTGTGCGAAAATTTGAATTTATTTTGCAAATTTTAATTTACTGATAAATTTATGACCTATGCAAATTATTTGAAAAAATTTGAGTTGTCTGGAATCAAAATTTTATGTATTCAACTTGATTCTTTAGCTTCGTTATTGCACCTATCAGTTAGTTCTTTCAATGTCTTTTCACCTTGATTCCATTGTTATATTTCGTTTGCAAGCATTATAATTTATAAAACTTAGTGCTTTATCAGTCCATAATTGTGTGTATAAAATATCAACATCGAAGTCTGCTGTGATCTCATTTAGTGCTGACACGTCCTGAAAATCTTTGAAATACCAATGAATGTCAAAAAAGAAATTTGCATACTTTATTCGAAAATGATTCAACTCTTTAAGTGAAGGTCCGATCCTGAACCATTGAAAAAAATTGAAATCGAAGAAAGGTTTGACAAAATTTGAAGGCAAAAAAAATTCAGCCTTAAAATCTAAATCGAAATTAATATTATAAATTAGCAAGCTCAATTGTTTGAGCTATTACTTACCACGATATTTTATTCAAACTTTTCTAACTGATTACTACTACATTTCTTAATAACAAATCTGTGGTACCTGTACATGTATTTCAATGTCTACTTGTACTGCGTCTTCAATTTCAGGCAACATTTTAGTATAATTTTTCATTAGTGCTTGTGTGATTGCTCCTTCCTTCCAAAACCCTTCAGGACATTTTCTTCTTGCAGCATTTACCTGAAAGGAAATTCTAACGGTAATAAACTGGATTCTATTTTGGTTTTCACTTTGAATTACCGCATGCTCATTGAGACAGCAACGCTGATCTACCTACGAGTTCAGTGTTTTGCAGTAGAAATATCTTAGAAGCTTAAAGCTAAGCTGTTTGATTCAGAAGTGCAAAAACTTGGCAATTTATGCTTAAAGAAATCAAGTACTTGTCTAATAATTAATGCAACTGATTTACTCTGGTCATATAATACAAAACGAAAAACAAGTTCTTAGCTATGATCTTACTTTGTCTAGCATGACAACCATGACAATAACTGTGTCTAGTGCAGGTCTTAACATTTATTTTAGGATTTTGACTCCGAAATAACCAATCGCATTTGACTTTTGTACAGCTCGAAGTTTAGTTTGCAGTGACAAAACCAGCTCTTATTTTCACTCCTTCAAGTTTTGTCGAATCTGACGTATTTTATTGTCAAATGCGCTGAACAACTGAAACTTTTTGCTTGCTGACGAATGATAAGTAAACTCCAATTCACGTAATACTTTAGCATTATATGTAATAATAACTGATATATGACGTCATAATTGGCGCAATAATCAGTATTTTGTACAGAACGACATATCTGTTATGCAAATTGATAAATTATTGCCATAATTCTTGATTGATGAGTGAAATTTTTGAAATAGCTACTAAGCATTCGATCGCAACACTTCAGCATACAGCACCAACTTTTATTATTTAAAATTTTGTTCAGAAATGACAAAATTTATCGCGGATTTTTTATTGCAGGTTTCAATATACTTGAAGAAATATTTGTACTGACAAAGCTTGATGAAATATCAAAAAATAATTTATTAATAAAGCACAAATATAGAACATGCAAGGTTTTCGCATGATACTGCTGCTCAGTTACTACTCCGAAAAGTCAACTTTACCGCTAAATGTAATGAATGCAACCTATTCATCTTTGAAAAAAATAGCTATTAAATTTGCTTAATTAAGCATTTTAATTAGTACCAAAATATTACAAAGCATTAAGAATATTAATTGAAATCACTGCGATTAACTCGTCAGTAAGACTATTTTTAAAGGAAAATAATGACAGCGAACGAAAATAATAGCCATTTTCGTGCCAAAAAACTAGAAACAACGATCTTTCAAGTCAAATTGCTTGGCTTAGGCTTAACTTTTTTGCTTCTTAAGACAGAAAGTGTTGCATTTGTCAATTTATTTGTACATGAAATGCTAATGTCACTTGCATGTCTAAAAATAAAAGAAAAATTTTGTTAGTAATTAGAAATTATTTTTCTGCAAGAGTAAGTTAATTAGTTAGTTAGCTTTGACTAATAGCTTTTTGGAGTAAAATGCAAATGCTTTGCAAACAATCGAAAGTAACGACAAAAAAACTTTTATTAGCAATCAAAAATCGTTTGTCTTTTGAGAATAAGTCAGTCAGTTAGTTAGTAGTTAGCTTGCACTAAAAGCTTTCTGATTTATAACTGTTTGAGATCGTTCCGTCTGATCCATTATCTGCTCTGCTTCAATGATTCCAGTTTGCTGATCTAAACCTGATCAAATTCAAAGCGAAATCTAAAATATGAAAGAATGCGTTGCAAACACAATTTTTGCTTTGCATTAGAATGTTCGTTTTATTAGCAACAATAAATCCTTGACTTAGTTCGGTCTCACTTCATTACTTACAAGAATTGTCTAAATTCTACCTCTATTGAAACCTGGATTGATTCTCTACACTATAATGTTACATAAAAACAAGAACAGAAAGCAATGTTTTATGGCGCGCACATTCAATTATCTCTTAGTAACATTGTGCGCTATTAAGAAAGATTAGTATTTAAGCAAATGAAAATATTGCGTAGCAAAATAAACATGCTTTTAGCACAAAGTAACTAAAATCATTATTAAATCCCGCAAAAAATGAGATGTGGCTGAATTTTTTGAAGTAGCTTTTACTTGATATCATCGATCCCATTATCATCATTGCTAATATCAGCTTTCAATATTATCAGTATTACTAATGCTATTTTCATTATGACAGTGACTCTGCTTGTCATTACTATGATTTTCAGTAGTTGTTTGAAAGTTAATCTATTTTTCCATTCCATTTTCCAGCTTAATTTGAGAAAGTTGTTTTTATCTTACACAGAATGCATCGTTATAACAGATTGCAATTAAATATTCAGTTCAGTAAAAGTAACAAAAATGTGGCATAAATGAGGAAATTACATTATAAAACATAAAATTACTTTCCCTAAACTCATTCCTCAACAATGTCAGAATTGGAACTAATGAAGATTGTAGCAGAATTAATTTTTTGCGTCAGTTAAGAATAAATAAATTCAGATCGTTTGAGATATCAATGAAAGTTATTAAAAGTCAGAAGGCTTAAATTAATTAATTACATTATCATTTGCGGATTTTCGTTATAAAGCATAAAAAAGGTCATAAAAGTCTGTCTCTTTTGCAAATACTAAATTTAAACTTACTTTATTCTCTTTTGAAACAGTTGGATAATTTTTGCGAATTTCTTTTTTAACTGCAAATTAAGTATACTCCTTCAAATAATTTTCGAACACTAATTATTATTTTTGCCTTTCGAATTGCTCACTTTATTGAAAACACTCGTATTTAACGCTTAACATATCCATGTGTTAAAACTTACTTAAATTTGTTTATTCAAATGGTTAAAAAATTTTTTCAAGCTACATAACTCATTATACTAACAAGTTTCAAAGCTAAGTCTTATTAAAAATGGTTTCATTGATTTTAAATGAACCCATTGTCTGATATTTTTTTAAAAATTTCAATACCTTTTTAAGACTGCTTATCAGCAGCTAAACAGGATAAACGCAGAAGTTGACCTTTCACATTTCGGGTTTTGTTTAGAATTCTCAACTAAAATTCCTATTAAAATAGTGGAGAATATTGGATTTAGAAAGCAACTGTTTTCAGAATCATCAAATCAACCAAAGCACTATCAAAATAAAACGAAATTATTGCATTCTTTTGCGAATGGCTAACTAATGCTTTCTCTTAAAATTTTCTCACAGAACTTTTTTGCAATAATGTTTAATATAGTTAGTTTTTGATAGCAATGCAAAACTCAGATATAAACATAATTTCACAATTACGTGAAAGAAGAACCGATTTAGCAGTAGAGTAATGAGTTATTAATTGTATTACGGAACAACTGATAAGCTTAGTAGTTGCAAAACTGATGCAGAAGAAATTAGTAAACACAGTAGAATGTTGTTTATACTGAAAATTTCAGAGAAGCATAACAGCAAGATAAATTATGGGCAAAAGTATGATATTTATCAAAAAGACAGTGCATTCTTGATTAATTAGTCTAGTAGCGAAAAATTAATAACAATCAATCAGTGTGATTAAAAAGTCGCAAATATGATTGTTTTTCGAAAAAGTTTGGTTTTAATGCCGAAATTTGATTTAAAGTGGAAATAATTCAATGACTTTGAGAAAAATTTGAATCTTACTATATTTGAGAGTCAAAACAGAAGCAGTCGCAACGTAAAACCAAAGTAAACTCACAGCTACATTTATAGTTAAAATCTAGCAATACCCTCTTTTTCGTCTTGCATAAATTATCAAGCCTCAGATTGATGTTTACTTTAGCCCTCATATAATTAAATATTATAGTGGTAAAATTCCCTTACACATTTTAAATATCTTTGCAAAATATATTCATTCCGCTTCATTTGCTTTAGAAAGAAAAACGCGAAAATGACTTGAAAGTCTTTTCAGATATAAGCTCTGCTGATTTTTATTGGCATATTATTGCAGCTTCATTATTACCTAAATTATACATTCTAAGCAACTCTACATTTTTTATTTCTTGCTTGTTCTTCATTACATAATCCTGCGGAGCTTAGATGTTACCACAAGTATTTGTATCCACTTTTATTATTATTTATTAATTTATTTGTAATCATAATAATTACTATGGCTGTTATAATTATTGCCATCATTGTTAATTACTACCCAATCTCAAATAAATAAAAATTAATAGACGAAACGATGTAATGACTCGCCCATTCATGCAAATTCTTAAAAGTATTCGAAAGTGTTTTCAAATATTATGATGATGGGTGTAATAAAGTGAAAGTTCCTTCCAGATTCACTCTTCAGCTATCCATTACTGATCTTTATTTACTTCGCAAATAATATATTACTAACACTCATGAATGTAGTGAAATTATGGCCCACTCTGTTGCGCTTACCACAATACAACCTAGAAGTCTTACTTTCTGTGCTGAAGTAACGAGACATTCCTTAATGAAAAAAACAAGAAAGCAGCAAAAACATTCTCAAGTGACCCATTCCAGAACTGTACCATGCTGTAGCACTGTCGACTTACAAATACCCACCAATTTACTAGCAGACATTATTACTAAAGTAAATAAACAACGCTGCTTGAAGAACTAATATCGAAACCTTTTTCTTTTTACGATTCATTCCTCATTCCAAACTTAGTGCTACCTTTGTGATACTCTTTCCCAAATAATACACATTTTTACTACTGCAACAACTCCACTTTTCATAGTTCTTAATGATGACATGATAAAGAACTGACAATAAAACAGGAATACCACATGATAAAAAACTGATAATAAAACAAGAATATCTTCAAATATTCAGCAATAAATCCAAATACTTCCATCAGATACGAAATAGTAAAGTGAAGAAAAAAGTCGTGCGCAAATTCAAAATTGCATAAAATATCAAATTTTCGGTAATATCATTCATGGAAATTCACAGTTAGAATGAAAATGACATTAGGCAAACGCAAAGACAAAAAGCAATTCATATCAATTAGCTTCCACAAAATTCCTGTCGCTTTCTAGCTAAAAACAGATACTACGGACAAATAAGCATACAGAACTAAAACGTTATTACACAGCCTGAGTATTAACTTCAGTAGTGATACAGATGAGAACTCAGTGAAACATTTGACTTTTTTGTGATCAGATAAAACAAGACATTTAAACCGATCCTTTCGATATGATAGTTCGTTCCTGTTGATGGAACTATGTCTTTTCTGAACGATAATAGCGATGAAATACAAGTTAAAACGAGAAAATAAAACTTGAATTATCCTGAACAAGAATAGTGAAACTGTCTGCTAAAACTACCTTCTTCTGTACAGTTTTAAAACGAAATAAATAGACCACAGATAAAGTTGAACACAAAATATTTTTGGTACTGAATAATTGACTTTAAATGAGAGAAGAGATTTCAATAAAAAAGAATTAGTGTAAAGTTGAAAAAAATCTAGCGTACTTGCAAAATATGACAGTCAAAATTTGATCAGAGTGATATAATTAGACGTAGATTGGCTCTCTTTGAATCGGAGACGACCTCTTAGAACAGTATGCGTTTTAAATCAATGTTTCATCACTTATTACTCAACTCATAACAATATCATTCTGTGCTTGTGTTTTCTCCCTGTATTGCTTCCCAAAATCAAAACTGACACCTTTCGTAATTACTGAAAGGAAAACATTCTCTCATGTAGATAGATTTCCTGAGGAACATAACAAATACTAGATTCAGTCAATAAAAATATATACGAAAGACTTACTTAAAACTTATTTAAAAAATAATTGAAATGCTAAAAAAGCACAAGTAATTTTTAAAACCATCTTTTTTTGTACAGTTTTAAAAACAAAATAAATAGACCATAGACAAACAAATAAATAGACTACAGATATATTGCTACACATCTTAATTAATAAGACTGAAATAGAAATTGAGGAGAAAACAACAAAAGTTGATCAACTGAATGAAAAGCGTTAGATAAAGTCTTGAAACTTATATCAAATATGAAAGTCAATAGCATTCTTCAAAATACCTAAAATAGGGCTTAATTTGAGCATACTTAAATTTGATGCAAACTCCATAATACAAAACAAACGATATATTAGAAATCACTGACTAGGACTTCGGCAGATCCCTCTGATTTTCAAAGCAATTAGTACCATTGACGTCGAGAGTATCTAGTTGCTCTCTTAAATGATGAATAACATGAGGAGAAAAGAAATAGAATTAATATTACAGAAATGAAATAACTGCATAACAATAGTTCACCTTACGGTTTACCTTACGAAATGAAACAGATAAGAACCTGTTTTTGGCGTGAACCCAACTCCACTTTGCAAACATCTGCATACGCTCCGTATCTTTCGAAACCACACTCAATGAATCCAGTAAAATAAATAGCATCACTAATCCACTTTTGATCTGAATTAACGTAACGTAATTACTCCATAAGGGAAACAATTTAAAAAAGGTGACAAAGTTCCCGCACAACAGGGAAAATATTGCTTAGCAATTAGGAAAACAGATAAAACAATAGCTGAAGGATCAATTTGCCCTCAATTATTGACCACAATAAACTTATTCCAAAATCTTTGAGAAATTCACCTCTATCAAACTGAATGAGCAAACGACTATTTCCATGAGCCTCACACTCTTTTGAATAAATTTTGGTCCAGCCGTCAGCCTCTTCTTTTTCAACCATTGATCGTATATAATATAAAATATGAAAAACCTACAAAATATACCATTTCATGCAAAAAGATGATTTTGTATTCAAAACTCCTCCAAAAATGAATTTAAAACCTTGATAACAGGATCAAGTAAGTAAAATGATAACAACTGATGAACTTCTAATTAAATGATCATAAATAATATTATGATTTCGATATTTTCTCGAATGTGCAAAACTGTATCAATAATGTTTGATAGAAAATAATTCTGAAAGAGGCAACTTCATGCAAATAGTTCAAAAAAATCATGCAAATAGTTCAAGAAATCAAGATATTCCTAAGCAATAAAATTTGAAACGAATTACAATCTACTTATTTTTTTGCTGAAAATGCAAATTCTGACCTGCTTTGAGTGTTCGCCTGCATACTGAATATTTAATATTATGTGTTTTGACTTTTCAATATCTGAAATTGAATGATTATATATTTACAACTAAAAGGAACATAAGATATTTCATTATCTGCCAAATAATTGGCAAACTAAGTTGATCACATATAATTATCACTACCGAAAATACAAGAAAGAACAATCTTGAAATATTTCAAACCTTCTGAAGAGTTAACCCATTTAATGTGAAGGCGAGATATTCGTAATCCTGGATAAATAGTTAATTTCGGATAAACCAGTGGATGGTACTTTCTGCATTCTGTCAAATTCAATGAATCATAACGAGGTACTCTGACCACATCTTCCTAAAAAAGCAAATTTAGTAATATGAAAACTGCAGTGCATTTCTTTTTCCAAATGCATAGAATGAAATTCAATACAATTCAAGTGTAAATCTACAAAAAAATTGCAATCATGTCAAGCAATGCTTATGAGTGAGTTGGATATCTTAAAATTATACTACGAGCAACTTCAGCTCTACGAGAAATTAAATTATGAAAACCTAATTTTCCTACAGCGCATGAACATCTCACTGATTGAAATCAGATTTTGAAACACTTGAAAATATAACTTGAGAGATGTTGCCTTGCAACTTTTCTTTAAAATGCTAATCTGAATTTTGTATAGAAACATTATTCCAACCACTAAAAAACTTACAGTAGCCCCGATTCTCATCTTTTCATCGTTATCATCATCGCTAATGACAATTACATCATTCTTTTCTTGAATAAATACTTTATTGTTTTGAGCATGTTGACTACAAATTTCGGGTTTTAAAAACTTTGAATCTTTATGCACGTTGCTATTGCCACACATCCAATTTCTGCTCGTCATATGATAATTTCTCTTTCCTAAAAAATGATATGTTTCAGAACTATCACATTTTTAACTTCATTATGGAGTGAGAATTCTTAGCGGCAAACCAAAAACAAATCTATCAAGAACAACAGAAATCCGAGGATTAAACTAATATGTCATTTCTTTCTAGATACTGCACCCATATTTACAAGAAAGGCAGCGATTTCGAAGCAGGAGAAAACTCACAACACTTACTGTATTCTAGCTAAAGACTAGGTACAACCTCGCAGATAATCCTACTGTCGACAACTTATTAGCAGCCAATATGGTCCTCTTGTATAATGAAATAGAAAACTGATAAAAAATGCAAGATGCGGGTCGAATAAAATCTCGTTTATAGTTGATCACCAACATGGCTACAACATGTAAACATTATCCCACAAGACGAAGCACGATACTGTAACCTCCACGACGAAAATGTTCGGAACTGAGATGACGTGTGCCAACAGTGCAGGGTACGTCTGAAGACAGTCGACTATCTAGAAACGTGGTGCGAAAAAATTTTATATCACGACCATATTGGAAGACACAATAAAGTCCGACTGGAACTCTGTAAGAGGTATGGTATGAAAGCATTCCCGCGCATGCGAGGAGTTCGTCACGAATGAAAATGTTGAGATTAAAGTCGATACCCGAGTGAGAACAGCTCTAAAGATAAGAGCAGATCAACTGGATATCAATAATCCACGATAAGAAGCGACGTGGAGTAGTCTTGATAGAGGTTGGCATCACTGGTCAGGACACGCTGGGCAGAGAAAAAGAGCTGGCTAATAAATGAGGTCAGCGATGAAATACAGGGGAGAATTCCGTATGTGATTTGGGATGGGATTGTAACGAACTTCCACAAGTGCTAAGCGGAGAGCAGTATATCTGATTTCGCCGAAAAATATATTCAATTGGTAGTACTCAAGAAAACGCTCGAAAGCATCTCATTCGATCAGTAGATTTGAAGACGACGAAGCAGCGGAGATTAGCATAGCAGGACTGAGCACAGGACAAGTAAAGTTAGAGTGTCGTGATACGATCCAGCGCCAGCATAAGTAAAGCGGAAAAGAAGATTAACCCCCACCTATTTTTTTTGTGTTGCTCTTTTATTAAATAAATATTTTTATTACCAGTGTGATTATTACTCCTACGTTTTTCGAATTTTCTCTTTTGAAATAACATGGAACCGTGATTTGTTTTCGCTATGCTCCTACGATAAAGTCGGGAATTGATTTAAAATCGGGAATTGATAAGATCGGGAATTGATTTAAAATATTTTCTAGATATAGCTTATATGTCGGCTTAAATCTCGACAGGTTCTACGAAAAAAATGACATTCATAATGTGTATAGACCGGTACTGAAGAAATAAAAAATTTACGTCGGGAAGCGTTTTCCTCTGGATTAACGATCTTTAATGTGTTATTACAATTATCTGGTGCCATTACAATATTACCATTAGTATGCGCAGACATTGGAAGATTTAAAGGCTCATTTACGGTGATCAAAGCATGTGCTGTTGCTCCCATCTGCTTTTTCGAAATCAGATTATTCTTATCATTATTTGAAGCTGCAAGTGAAAAAGATCTGAGGCCAGATTTGAAAGAATCAATTTCAAAATACGTGGTGTTAAAAACCGATAATGTGAAATAGTAGAATAATAAATCAGGACAAAAGTATAAATCACTACTTGAGATTAATCTGCACATTCTTAAAAATATTGAAAACCTTTCTTCTGGTGACCAAATAACCCAAGCTTCAAACACAGGCACATAGCTCAACTTTATTTTAAATTAATTAAAGAACATAATTTAGAAAACCTTGAAACTTTATTGACTTCCCTACTTTATTTCGTTATCTTCATCTAACGTATTTCTAAAACTTTGAACATTTCGTCTTCACTACATTATAGTTAAGAGTGTTACGATTTTCTGAATTTAAAATTTTTTCGTACGAAACACATTCATCAAAAAAAGAAAACAAACCCCTTTCCGGAATACGCTCATGGGAAGTATTAATTTGCTGTGATGCAACGGGTTTTGCTGTATCAGAATATACGATACTACGACATGAAGTTGGGTTGGCTGAGGTACTCGGTTTAACTTCAGATTGATTTTGAAGTACTGCTGATGGTAACTTCGAGAAATCTGAATTCCATTTTCCTTCTTCATCCTCTGTTTTCCAACGTTTTTCCCATATTTGAGCTGTTTTTGCTATCTGAAATTTGGACGACTGCATTTAATTTTGAAAAAACTGCATTAACTTTTGAACTATGAATTTCTAATTTTCATCTATTATCATCCAAAATTCAGTGAACAACAAAAGAGACTTCATTAAAAAGGACTGTTGTTTACGGAAAAATTCAAGTACTAACAGACTGCCAATTATTACGAGTATTTTACATAGATAATTTTCGAATGAATCACCTTCGTCCCTGGAAAACTAGTGGCAATGAAGCAACTGAATTCTCGAATCGTTAAACGCATTGCTGCCAAATTTTCTCGCAGTGTTTTAACTGATGCATCCTTCAAATATATTCGGTTTCAATCCCATCATAAATTGACATTTTTTCCACATCTTTTACAAGTTTTCAATACAACATAATGATTGTATGTTTTTGCAATTTATTCCTAATTATTTTACTCTGACAGAAAGAAGCTAAAAACATTAAATTTTAAAGATTAGTCTCTAAAATTCAATGTTTTAGCTTCAAGTATTGAAATTTTTAGCGACTGAAATGGTGCGAAGTTTACTTTCAGACGAAGTTGTTCTTCAAGTCTCTTAATTAATGAGTGCAATTCACGTTTTTCCAATTTACAAGTTTCTATAGAACACGGTAGCTGAGACAAAGAATATATCATAATCTGAAATTCACTGCATGAGTCAAAATTCACTCTTGTGTTCAGTTAGACTTAAACAATCAAGTTCACTATTGACAATTTACAACCTAAGATCCATCTTAAAGACTGAACGACCATTATTAATATCTTTTAACTAACCCTTTTCATCTCATTTTTTGTTACAAATCGTTTTCGACGAATCTTCTGCTGTGGTAATATTTGAGGAACTGCAGCGACTGATAACATAACTGCAACACAGCCTAGTACATAAATCTTTACGAACACATATTTTTATTCAAATACGTCTGTAAACCGTACTATTAATTACTCGTAATTTCAGGCAATTACAATATTATAGTGAAAATTTTGTTTAGAGCAGAGGATTTTTTCCATTTATTATGGCTCAATAATATCGGAATTTTATACTGAGCAAGCACAAAATTCACTCTTACATTACAAGTCTGATTTTTTGAAGCTACAAAATTCACTAGATGTGATATAATATCACCGGTCTAAATGACACAATATCATCAGTCTGTCAACATATGCGTACAACACAACTTCAACAGTTTACAGCAAATAATTTAACAGTGCGTTAACAACCACATTCAGCAACATGAAGTTACGATCTGCTCCACCGAAGTACCAAAATCGCAATATCCAGACATCATCTTCATCACTAATTTATGTTGCACTCACGAATTTCCCGCGCAAATCTATACCTTATCAACAGCTTTATCATCCCACAAGTTCTTCCAAGCATACGAGCTCCCCGAGGCGTCCTACACGTCATCTCACATCTTACATTTACTGTTAGCATAATTCCATGCTAAACGCAATGTCTATCTGGTTTTCACTTCATTTGTACAATTACAAGCGAAAATTTCAAATTTTATTCAGCATTTGCGTGAAAAACTTGTAATCTGTCAGCATAGCATTTTTCACAACATTAAATAGAATTAAATATAATTTCGAAAAGAAATAGCAAATTTCAAATTGTTAAATATTGTTTAATATAAAATTTACCTGCCAAATTAATTTTTATATACAACCTAACAAACAAATCAGGTATGCATACAGTGCGAAGAAAGTAGGCTTCCTTTCTCGGACCACTCTCGACTTATTTCTCGAGACCTGCAGGATAACACGCGTAAGAAAATAAGCAGAAACTATTATAGTTTGTTCTCTAAATAAGAAAAGAATGAGAGAAGGGAAAAACAGCATAATGTAAAGGTGAAAAAGTGTAAGAGAAAAAGAGGCACTTATGACTCCTAACACCAATCATTCCGCTCACTGATTATTGACTTTTTCCAGTTGTCGGACATCCCTCCACTTATCGATTGCACATTGTATCGACTTATCGATTAGTTGCAGTTCTGCAATCAATTGGTTCGATATTATTACATTGCAAATTCATTTATTCGTCGAGCATATGCCCATAAAACTTTTTGCTTTTAAATGTAAAAAAAATCAATAAATAGCAATTGAAATACTTGAATATTTGAAAATTTTTCCGGAAGTGTATTTGCTCTTCGATGGCTTGAGAGGATAATTAGGGGCAGCCATTGAGTTTACGTTTAAAATCCGAAATTACCGCAATGCAAACGGGAAAGTGATCTAGAGTTGCGTTGTCCAGCGATATTTGTGAATGAGTTTTCTACTTAGTAGTTCAGTGTGTAACAAATGTTGAATTCAGTACATTAATTTTGGATTACATTTGAATGGAATGACTGCAGCGAATTTGTGAAATTTCTGGGTAGCTTTATTCATTAGAAGTGAATTATGGAACGCAATTCAGTTTTCTGAAATGTCAATAGAAAATTGAGAATCTGAGGTTAAAAGTTAGCAGTGAGAAAAACTGATTTTATTGCAATGACATAAATTGGAAAATCCATTTATTGTAGTGATACATTCAAGCTTGAACAAGAAAGTTGAAGTTCTCAGAAGTCGCACGCTTGCTGATTGGGACTACACTTTCTTTTGGACTGCTAGTGGTATTTGGTCAGATTTAATCATTATTGAATTTGAAATCATTCAGTCATTGAATTCGACAGAAAATGAATCGTGAACTTGGTTAAAATGCACTCAATTTGAATTCAGACTTCATTGAATGAATATTTGCTTCCTACGTTGGTCTCTCAAAATATTAACCTTTTTAAAAATCTGTAATTTTTGGCATTTTTAAAGTCATGAGGCCAGTAAATAATATGAATTTTGTATGTTGCTGAAAGTCTTTACAACTTAAGAATTATAAAATTGTACATATGAACTACATATATGAGGTCATTAATGACTTTCCTATTTTGCAGTCTTGTACAGCAAGCGTAATTATTATAAACATTAAAAAGTTGTTCGAGTGGCACACTTTTCAAATTGCAAGAATTATTATGAAAACGTGGTATGTATGAAGGTTGACGAGCTTGCATAGACAAAAAGTTTGTATGAAGAAATTAATTAGCGAAATAAGATACCAACTGCTTCTGCTAACAATGCGCAGCATGCAAGTGATTGTACATATTAAGTTTATTCATATACATTTATGAAAACTTTTGCATGAAACTGATCGGTTTATTTCAGTATTTATATTCATTTTTCGGAAGAGACGAACAGACGCATGAAGTCAATTTGCACTAAAAATAAAAAAATTTCAAAATATTTTGTGCGTTACGTGGAAAGCAGAAAAGGTATATTTCAATGCGTAGCAGTAGACTTGAGTGAAGAATTTCCGAAAATGTAGAAATGGAAGTGATAAATAAATATTAGAATATAGCACGCACATTACTTACTTCAATAATTTCATCTTTCGCTCATAAATCTCAAAATGTTTTTTGGCAACAAATTTTGTGTCTTGATTTTTAGCAAAATTTTATTTATGAGTAGATGAAAAATTTAAGTAAGAACTGCAAATGATAATGACTTGAATATATTGATAATGACATATTCAATACTTAATTATGACAGCAAATTGTTACTTCAGCTCAACGACTTTTAATATTTGTTTGGGTTGCGCAATCACAAATTATAACTTTCCAGAAGCGTGAATTTAAGTTCAAAGATTGAAATCTGCAGTTGTTCATCTATTTGGGATGATTTAATAATAATAAAAATTATTATTATTATTATTGTTATTATTAATAGACATTAGAAATATCAGATTCATGCATATATAGTCATCAATCAAAGAGTTGAAAAATGTATGAATCAGAAAGAAAATTATGAATAATATTTAATATAGCGAATAAGTACTTATAACTATAAATATATTCGCAAATATGCCGCTACAGCTGAATTTAATTATTTTCCTGAACAAAAAAGTGTAATGATTATTAGTAATTTTTCCATAAAAAAATATGGAAATTAACACAGTACAATCATTCACCCAAAATGTAGCACTTTATACTATAAAAGCAGTTCTCAAAATTGCTTTCCCTCCAACCCAAATGCTTTACGTTTTGGTGTTAGCTTTTACGATTCTGCTGACTTTATGTGGCCAAAGTGATGGACAAAAACGGAGAATTCTTAATCTGTTGAGTGAATGGGCTGAAAAAGCATCAGAATCTGGCAAATTGGCTTTCCGCTCCATTGTAGACAGTGAAATGGAAGATATCAACACTATCTATGCAAAATTAAAGGACTGGGCTAGCAGTGAAGGACCTGACTTCCTGGTTAGTTATCGTTCTTCCTAATTTGCTGTAAGATTTCATCAAAAACGACCGTGGTCATCAACTATTAAGCAAAATATATTCATTAAATATATTTTGCTTATATTGGCAACAAATCATGAAACAATCAAAATTAATAAAATCACAAAAATATCAAAAATTTTAGCTCTTAAAAAAATTTTACAAAAAATTTCAGATTGTCACGAAATTTCAAGAAATGTTGCAAAATTCACTTTAATATTTAACTCAATTTTTTGAAAATATTTTTCGTTTTTAAAGCGCAGAAAGTTGAAAGGTATAAATGAATTAAATATTTTTTATTAAATAATCAGACTGACCTTGAAAACAAAATGTCTGATCGTTCATAGTAACTTTTCGTTGCAAAACGATGAACAATCCAAACATTTTTTGCTGTAAAAGGTTTTTTTTGATTAACATGAAAATTTTTTAAATTTCAAAATAAGCCATAAATGATAATTTCCAATGACAGTTAACAAATCTTGTAAGTTTCTATCAAATAAGACAATACCACAATTTAAGAATTTTTATTTAAGAAAGCATATAAAGAACTTCTTGTGAAAACAGAAAAGGAAGCTTACGAGAGACGCGAAAATCTCGGAAAAGACGTAGATCTGTTACCTCCATTAGTTATGGATGCATTCCAAGTGATTGATGTGTTCCGTCAAGATCCAACCAGAAGTGAAGTTGAGGAGAAAAAAATGGTTATTCACACCCTTTTTTTTCTACTTCAAAATCATATCTCATTTTCCGTCTTTTTTTAAACTATTTTACTCCTTTGTAACATTTATAAGTTTACTTGTTTATTTATTAATTTTGACAGTTTACTTCAAAATTTTATGCTAATACTAATCAGTGATAGTCTTTCAAGCTGTTTCAATTTAAACGAAATCATTGATAAAGAAAATGATCAGTTTACTTATTATTTTTTATCATTTGGTTGTTTTCCGATGTGAATATAAATGGTCCTTTTGAAATTTAGAGTCTCAAATAAATAGCACCATTAAGATGGGTAGCTATCACTATGAGCGTAAAAGCATCATATTATGAACCATTTTGTTTTCTGAAAAATAATCTTCAGTTAAAAATGCAGGTTTCATTAAAGTATCACATTGTTTTCTTTTAGTTTTTTTGTACATCTTTATTTTCAAAATTATTTCCAACTAAATTCATTTTGACTTTTTTATAGATTATTGACTTGAAGAAAAACATAGATCCACTTTATCACAGTCGCTATCAAATTTTACTGGATAAAGCTGAAAATCTGCAAAATGAATATGGCATAAATGTTTTCCGTTCACCGTTTGCTCCACGAAGAAAGCGGTATTTGAAGGATGACGAACTTTAATCACAATAAACTGACTGTCATATTATTATTACATAAACCTTTCATTATTTTTGTTATCATTCATTTGCTATATTTTTGAAGATAAAAAAAATATTGACGATGAGATAAAAGAATGTTATTTAAGATGTCAAATACGTACTCTTTATATTCTACACATACTAAAGGTTGACATAAAAATCCAAGCTAGAATTGCCTTTATAATAAATATTTTGATCCATATCTTTCAATTTCTTGGTTTTGCCGAGGTGCCGCAGCTGACTTTGATCGGCTTGTTCAAGAAACATAAAATGCAGGGTAAAAGGAAAAAGTCCGCGTCTGGAATCCTATATGAAAACAAGGGAAAAAACAGATGTGGTTGGAAAAACCTCCGTAAAAAGTGTGAAAGGGCGCTCTGTAAAAAGTGTGAAAGGGCGCTCTGCCAGTGTATCGGAAGTGTCCCAAGGTGTTCCAAGTAAAGGTAGCGACTTCTGGCCAATAACTGAAATAAATGGAAAAGTTATTATGTAGAAGAAAATACATTGAGGAATTCTCAAGGTGATAGCCTTTCTCCGCTGTTATTCGCCCTGTGAATGCATCCGCTGAGTAATATAAAGTACCCAAAGGAAACGGTTACAGCTGATCGAGGAATGCACAGTTACAGCTGATCAAGGAATGCACATATCTACTGTTAGTGCATGATTTCAAGATCTTTACAATCGACGAGCATATCATGAAGTCGATGGCGAAGGGGTTCAGCAGTTTCTGTGAATCAAGAAAAGTCAGCCACTAAAACCGAGGTATGCGCTGATAAGGCGTCACTATTGGAAGGAAATCAAGGGTACCAATCGTCCACAGCTGATCAATTTGCCACGATATGGAAACATTACCCCTCAAGATGAACCACGATACTGTAGCATTTAAGATAGAAATATGTTTGGAGGTGAGAAGGGTATGTGCCAAAATTGTAGGGAACGTCTGAAGACGGTCGACCATCTAGCAACGCAGTGCCAAAAAATATTACATCACAACTATACTAGAAGACACAATGAGGTCCTACGATGCATCTATTTGGGACTCCGCAAGAAGTATGGTCTGAAAGCATTCTCGCGCTTGCGAAGCCATTTCGTTCAGGAGGTCGTCGTGAATGAGAGTGTTGAGATTAGAGCCGATACCCGAGTGAGAACAGCTCTAAAGATAAGTACGGATTGACTGGATAACATAATCAACGATAAGAAGGGCATTTTTGCAAAGTTCTTTGCGCAGATAGAGGTTGGCATCACTAGTGTCGGGACAGTTTGACAGCAATCGAAACCGAGAAAAAGACCGCAAATATGATCTACTGGCTAATAAACTCGAGCCAGAGACGAAATTCAGGACGAAAATAATTCTGTATATGATGATTTGGGTTGGAATTGTAACGAACTTCCCCCAAACGCTTCGCGGAGATCAGTATATTTAGTACAGTCGGGGCACATTTTCAATCGATAGTGCGCTAGAAGACGCTCAAAAGCATTTCATTCGATACTGCTATAGATTCCGTGACGATGAAGCGAAGGAGATGCACAATAAATCTGAGCGTGGGGCAAATACAGCCAAAGTGCCTGGCAATACGATCAAGCGCTAGAATCAGTAAAGCGAAAAAGAACTGATCTCCACATTTTCTTTATTTTCCATATTATTATTCAAAATACCATATTAGATAATGAATGTAAAGGCACAAAATTCTGGCAAATCATATTGATTTCACTATTATTTTATTATTATTATTGTTATTATTATTCTTTTTCTTAATAATTCATCATTATTAAATAAATCGCTAAAAGTGCGTAAACATTTCGCTTAATTATACTTTCTTCTCTCAACACATTTTTTGATGCAATTTTTTTAATTTCGACTAAATCACACGAATTCGCTTCAATGCAACCACAATTGTTAGTTTTTTTTCAAAGGCCCAAAATGATTATCTGCGAGAAATGATTATTTTCAATAATTTGGCGCTTTGCACTCTCTTCTAGACAATAAGAATAAAAAGCGAAGTGCTTTGGTCTTACTTTCCTTCAAATCTCAATAATAACAATATTCGTTGCATCACAGCTCTGAGCTTCCAGTGAGGAAAGATTTATTTCACTTTCTGTTTCTCTTTGCTATTCACTGATATTACTTTCATTCAATGCAGTGTCTGTGCTGTAAAAATGATAGCAAAATGAGTATTTTCTGATATCAGTTACTAATTTATGAAATTGTTTTCTTTCTTCTTGAAGAACTTTTTAATGTGTCACAGAATAACTGTGCTGTGTTCTTTATCATTTGATATTGCCATGACTTCTGTGAGTGACAAATTTTGATTTCGAATTAAAATGTCATAAAATTTTAAATATTAAATTTGATCAAACCACAATCCTTTTTCTACATTTGTCAAGTCCACTTGTCTAACTGAGTAAGTTATTAGATGCTACTCCTTCCTTTGGAATAGCTTTTGTATGAGAATCTGCAGATGCGTTAAATGACTAACTCAATGAAGATTTGTTTAAAAATGAAAAGAATTAAGTCATTTCAGTTAGTGGAAATCTGCATTCTATCAAATAAAATTCCATATCAATTCTTATTTAAAATTTTTCTAATTTCGGTCTCATCATTTATTTTAATTAATAAAATGTAAACATACGAAGCAAAAACATGTAATGAGAGTTAGTTGTGCATTGTAAATTAGTCAGTCATTAATTTAATTCTTTGATTCTAATTAGTTTTTGTCCTCACCTATACAAGGCCTCAAATTTCACGCAGTAGCTGTAAATGTAATTATAAAAATTCAAATTAGATTGTGTACTGAAAAGATGAAATGATAAATAAATTAGTTATCAAACGTATTTGATATTTGTCATCATGTGGTATTTTTTAGCAACTTTTTTAAAGTGGAAATTAATAATTTGCTTTATGAATAATTTATGCAATATTATTGCTATTTTCACAGCATTAATCATTTTTCACTAAAATAGCTTTGCACGTAATATTTATTTCAAAAGTTTTAGTATTTATTTGAAAAGTAATTTACAAATATAATTTTGATTTTTATTTTTGAAACATTTACTTAAAATTTAGGCATTACTGAGTGAACTAATTGTACTATCATTATGACTACAGTATAATAATTATCATTGCTATTATTAAGATATTATTTCTCAAAGAATTGATAATTTTTATCATAAAAGGTTTTTAATTTTCTGATTTTAATTTAGTAAGTTACTTTTTTTTAAATCTCAAATTACTATTTCAAAGATGCATAATTGCTTCTGAAAAATATTAAAAAATTAATTTTGGCCCACTGCTTAATTTTTATTAATAAATATGACTAACCTTAGCAATTTTTTCTTCTTCTTTTATTATTGAAGTTTTTTTTTTGCTTAATATTGCAGTCGTCAGCAATGAAATTTTTTTGAATCATTCCACAATTTCTTCTTAAAAACGCGTCTTGAATGTTCCATATTTTATAGTTGTTACAAAAAGTTTGACTATGAAATAAATTAAACTTAATTTAAAAAAAACTCAAAGCAAGTATCATTACATGGACCTGTAAATGCTCATAAAATTTTTACCAAAAAATTGCAACACTACGCATTGATTCAATTTTGAAAGAAATAAAGTTATATCTTAAATTCATTTACTTTTTAGAGTGAATATCAATGGATAAATGACTACTCTCACTTCTGTATTACTCTCAGATGCCTAATTTGGCTTTTAGAAATGAATTCCAATGGGATTAATGCTAAGGTCAAGGTAATTATTCACTTTTTAAAAGATAATTATAATATTTTTATCGAAGCTAGACTTTATTTACTATCTATCGACTACGAAGTATTGAGGAGCGAATACATCTGTGATAAAAGTAGAGCATATCTTGACTTTCTGTAGTAAAATCATTCATGTTCATTGAGCTATTTGTTTCGGTTTAGACTAGCTGTGACCTTTATGAAAACACACTCAAAAATGACTTATGACTTTATATTTAAAGTTTTTAATACTCGTCTTGGAAATGGAACTCAAATACCAAGCTTGAGTTGCTGTTTAATTTTCTTAATTTTTTTCTAAATTTTTTCAGACGATTTTTCAACCTGTGTTTCTTTTAAGTCGCTTTTCATCAATGTATATCTATTTCTCCTTTGTTGGAAAAAAGCTCAAAAGCTGAAAATCTTTTTATCTTCAAGCATTTCTTGTTATCACTAAATTGTAGTTAGTTTCATCAAATTTGATGTAATTTAATGACTTCAGTGAAACCAAATTTTAACTGCTAGTAAAGGATTTTTACTTATTTGAGTAAGGAAGGCACTGCACAAATGATAAGAAAAGTAAAGCGTACTATTTTCATGTTTAAGTAGTGACTTTCAGTTAGTACAACTCAACCTGCTAGTTTCACTTCGCTCCATCAATCTTGAACATTTGCTTTCACGTAGCAAATTTTTGCCCACAATCCCTTCAATTTTATTTCAACTTGAAAATTTTTAATTATTTTTCCATTATTCTGTTCGTGGTAAAATAAGGCGTAATTTCTATACTATAAGCAATGAAAATTACTTTATTTTGGTCTTTTTCCAATCCATTCAAATATGTTGCCATGGGTGCCTGCGCCACTTAAAGCAACATCGTTGTTGACACTCGCGACAATAGCACGTTTAAGTTCAGCAGCGCTGTGACCTTTAGTGATAAGCGCAATTGTTTACGACTCAGACTTCCGATCAATGAGCTTTGATGGAGTGGTTTGTGAATTCGATTAATTTTTGCTTCGATCATTCACTAAAGAATCTTTTACACTTTGAGTACACTTCATTTTTAGTTAATTATTTTCCTTTGCAAGTTCACAGTTCATTTTTTGATATTTAAATAATGTTTAACATTTCAATGACTGTCCCATTTTTTAAACATATTTGCTCTCTAATTTTGAATTGTATTCTCACCTCAATAATTTAATTACGCAATTTTATTTTAGTACCAAGTTTTCACTTCTATCTTAACATGGTAATTTTCTC